AAAAAGAAAAAAAAACAACCAAACACAAACAAAAAACCCAACAAAAAAACCCTACCAACAAAAAAAAATCCCGCTATCAACACAATATGGAGTTTCCCTCACCAGGTGGATTTGTGAGCACAATCCATGGCACAAGAAAGAGGGGATTTTTAAAAATTAAATTGGTTTTGCTGAGCAAACTGTGAACACATTACAACTTTAATGAAATCGATCAAATTGAAACACCCAAACATTCCTCAAAGCTAGAAGGTATTTTGCCTTAAAACAATCGAGACTATTCCATTAATCCCTGCAGCCTTCACTTTTCAAAACTGCAGCTCACTACCATTTCCAATTCTGTAACTACATTAAAAATACTGCTCCTTCTTAAGTTTCCAGTGAAACTGCTTTTACGCAAGTAGCACTTGAAGTACCAGATTAACACCAACCACAACAAAATTACATCAGATAGTCCAGTCAAATCTGCCTGGCAGCATCATCAGGAAGCGTATTATGGAGTTACAAACTTTGAAAGCAGCTAAACAGTGTTCAAGGTATTTATGTTTCTTCTGTCCAGAACATCAACAGCAACATGGGAAAAAAAGATACTAAAGCCATTAAATTAGCAGTCACCCCTGAAGTGAAAGCTCAAATAAGTCAGGAAGCTGAGTTTTAAAATGCCGACAGTGCATCATCAAGATCAAAGGAAGAATTAAGACTAAATCAATTCCCTAAAGTCAGTGGCCCTGCCAGTGCTACCACTGCAGCCATTTTACAGAGGCTCCTCGCTCTCAAGAGCTCCCTGAATATCTGGAATAGGGCACACACCAAACTCCAGTCTTATTTCTTGAAATAGGAGCCAAACAGTTCCTACCAAAAAAGCAATTAATGGAAGTACACTGGATGGAAAAATTATGGTAATTTTCCCTAGATTTAATGTGCAGTATAGTAGCAGAAAGCATGTTATATTCAGCTGACAGCTGCAAAGTGCATGATGAATGGGGCTAGCACTAAGTAGAAAACTTTTTCCTGTGAAGTGATCAAGGCTGCAGGTCTGGCACTTACACTTCACTTTGTACCAACAACCACAGCAGTTGCAGACAATTTACTGGGCCCCCCACCTTGGAAAACAATTTTATTTTATTTTCTTTAACTTTTACAAGTACTCTAGTGTACAATCCTGATACATATTAGCCTTTCTAAGCTTTACACATAGAAGAAAGTGATTTAGGAACATAAGAAGTGCAATTGAAGATCACAACTGATAGAAATGTCCCTCATTTCCTTGGGATACCATCTGGAATATTTTAAAATCTCTGAAATAATTTCAGAGCAAGAAGTGAAGTGTTCCTTACTGGTCATGCTTTCTACAGCATGTTCCTACAGTACTAAAGAAAAAAATTATTTCAAAGCTTATGAACCAAATTTTGATCTCAGATAGATGGTTATACATGTTCATGCATAGTGACCAAGGTCATTATTTTGCCTCTTTACAGCTATAAATCACCACAACTGTCTGTAAAGAATACTTGTGCAGAAATGTAAGAAAAGTTCTGCTCACAGAGATATGTGCCGAATGCCCTTTTATCAGGTCACACAAGTGAGGCAAAGGATGGAGAATACTTGGCACAGAAACAAGACAAAAATAACTTGCATACATTTTTTCAAAAGCTCTTGTGAAATCAATTGCTTTAATCCAAGTTGAACAGGAAATGCAGTTCTGGTACGTCACACCCTAGCATAATAAGCTGCAGTTTCTCTATTTAACCTGCCTACAATACTCAAGGCAATTGTTTCCCCTGCAGTTTGTGGGATGACTTCAGAGTTGCCTATTATGAGCTGCAGTGAAAAGGAGGCAATATTCAATTCTTATTTTGTCCTTCTTAACTGTAAATATTTCACTCAAGACTGCATTTTCCTTTTAAAAATAAATTCACTGCAGTTTTTGTTCTTTCTCATATCCAACACAGTCATGCCATTGTCTTATGTTCCCTCAGTTTGTTCCATCTCCACTCCCCACATACCTCCACTTTACTTTACAGTCCACTGAAAAGTAATTTGCAAGGTATTTGCCTCTAATCTGCCTTCAAAATTAGCAAGAGAACACAGCAGAGGAGCAGATTCCAACCTTCACAGAATCACAGAATCACAGAATATTAGGGATTGGAAGGGACCTCAAAAGATCATCTAGTCCAATCCCCCAATTGGAAAATCCATTGGAAAAAATCATCCATTGGAAAATCTCTGAGGAAATCTATAGCAGAATTATGAAAAGAAACAAGATTTTCCAAACTACAGTTTTAGTCTCAGATACCCTTTCTCCCTCTTCTAAATGCAATTACTTTATTAGGTAATGTTCAAAAGGAACAGAAAACAGGTACCTAGTTGTCCTTTTTGCCTTTGAAACTTCTTCCTTTCAACTACACACTGTATATGTGCAAGAGTGAGAGTAGACACACAGTCAAATGAATTCAGGATGCTGTTTTCAGCAGCTGTATTGAACTAAACAACCTATGTGATGACGGTGTCAAAATACTACCTTATATACGCACTCCTTCCTGACATCACAGTGTCTAAATCAAAGACTGCAAAGCCAGCTCTTTTAATACTTTGCTTAAGATATATTTGCCACTGCTAGATCTTCTTTGGCAGCAAAATCTTGGCTGAGATACAGCTCAGAAACACTGTACAATTCATTCTGCTGCCATCCATCTCACAAAAGAAAGCAGAAGAACTTAGTGAGTCATGTTAACAGACATAAGTACATCAAAGTGAATGTTATTACTGGTGGGAAACATTAACTTTGTGAGTCAGTTTCACATATTTCATCTACTTTCTTGTGAAAAGCGGGATCTACTTTGGTAGGCATACAATGTGATTTATTTGGATTCCTAAGTAGCGATATTTACACATTAACTGAAGTGCTCAAAGACAGCTTGCATGCCTTGAAAAAAGTCTCCCCTTCTGCTCTACAAATACACTCTCTTAATAGCCCAGTGGAATGTACTTTCACAAATATTTTCAGTTAATTTAGTATGTATGGTCTGCAGGTTTCCAGTAGTAAGAAAAAAAAAGTACTGATACTCCTGAACAAAGTCCATGTGATCACTGAGGCTCAGTGAAGAGCTGGCCAATTATGCCCTTGTTTTGCAGCTGCTAGAATATATTATGTAAAAAAGAAAAAAAGTTACACTGCATTCCTTTCTAGTGTTAAACTTTTATGTAAGCAACAGCTAAAAGGTTGGAACATATATGTAAGATGGAAGATCTAACTGAGACTGTGAAAAAAAACTGGGTTACCTCTTGAATGGTGAGATAGCAGGCATGCCATGATCTTTGCTTTTTAACACATGTTCAGCAGCAGAAAGTTTGCTTACTTTTGCTTACTGTTACAGCATGGCCCACCTGACTCTTCAATCACAATTAGAAGTTTGCCTCCAGTAGTTAACTTTTTCATCCAATTACCAATAAAACTTTTAACAATCCCTTCCAAAGGAAGTTCTTTAGGAGGACTTGTAATTTAATGCTAGAACAAAGCAGAGATGCAGCAACAAAGCTCAGAGAGGAAAAACCTCACACTTTAAGGGCGCTGAAGTTAAGTGGGTGTTGTTCAAAAAGAAATAAGGACAGGGGAAATATAAAAATAAAAGGAGAAAGCGAAAAAATAAGGCGGAAAATATTTCACACTCCATTTGAAATCATTCACCTTCTAATATGAAGACTGAAACAGGGTATATTTAGTTCCCATCACACACAAGAAACGACCCTCATCTGTAGCTTGAATTCAATAGCTACATTCCTTTACCATTACAAGATTCATTAGACTCCTATGAAGAAAAAAAAGGTCCAAGTGTCAAAAATTCATAATCACAAACTCTTAGTTTTTATTTACATGAATAAATTTATATTAACCTCCACAGAAATGTGTAAATAACTCCATAAGAAAAAAAACAAACAAAAAGCCCACATTAATTTTAAAAGACTAGATGGGCGTACAGTTTTAAATTATGACGCAGAAATCTTGCACGTTGCAGTCACCTCTTTAGGTCAATCTTAAGTCACATTAAGTCATAAAATGGTAAGTGGACAATAAAAAGATACACTTATATCTACTGGTCTAAATATACAAGTGCCCACACTACCACTGTCTTTGGCAGATTCCTTGATCAAGCATTGAGTTACATGGAAAACAATCTTGCCATTCCTCCAAGTCAAAATTAAGGCTTACTGTAAGAAGACCATGGGAAGAAGGCATATAGGGCTTTTTGTTTTAATGCATCATTTTCATTGGTGAATTTGAAGTCTGCTGTGTAAGGTACTATTACCTTCAAATCAGTGACTGCAGTTCTCTTCCTAAAACATGCTATTTCCATTAACATTCCTGTAGGCAATGTAATAGCAACTCCCTGGCTAAATCAAGTTTCCCAAACTGTACAGAAATTTACAGCAATGACAATAAATACTCCTTACTGTACTAGTTGAAGTTAAAGGCCTGCTTCTGCAAATCCTCACCCCTGTGAATGACGCAGTTAAAGGCAGTAGGGCACTATAGCAAGGGCTGGGAATCTGCAGTACTGCAGTCTCAGATGACCGTGACTAATCACTGTTTAAACATGATCCTTCAAAAAAAAGTAAGAAATCATAGCTTGCCTTGGACAAATATGGTAGGGGAAAAAATGGCATTATCTTCAAGCAGCTAAGAAGGTTAGACAAAACAAAAGTGATAAAAAAATCAAAAATTATTGGACTATCATTTAGTGATATGCTCTTGGCACAGCAGAGAAAAAGAAACAGCTCTTTTCCAAACTCTACGTAAGGAGATGCAATTAGCTTTCACAAGTTAAGGATCTGGACAACTTTAGCCACTTGTTGTTGTCTTTTAGCATTGTCTGGGCATTTTATAATCTCAGTCATACAGATGGTCACTTACCACATTTAAGCTGAAGCTCTCCTAAGCAGCCGTAAGCATCCGTGAGCTTTTCATATTGTCCTTTAATTGCATCCTTTTCTTCTGGAGCTGAGAAACAAAACGAAAGGCAGCAAACCTTAGTTTTCCAGTCATCATAAAATTGCACTAATGATTCCCAGTTGATTTCGCTCAGTGAACAAAACTACAGCACAAAGGTCGGGTTAAAATGCTGTAAAAGCACAGTGCTTATAAAGTGATGGGACAGAAATGCATAGCCTCTCCACACACCACTGCGGAAGAAAGAAGGACACTCACTACCTTTCCAAACAAGGTGATCATTGGTAAAGTTCTTATTCTATGGCACAGATGCTACATCAGTTTCAGAGTAAGTAAAGGAATATACAGGCACATGTGAACTTTAAACCATCATAGAATAAGAACAAAAATAATCATTTGTCTAGCTATAAGCTAAAATATAATATCTTTTCTAGATGTGCAAAAAAAGATGGTTTCCACTTCCAGATTCTCACAGTCTAATTTCAGACAGAATTGGAAATTTGTTATGCAAGATAACATAATTTGATGTAGACACAACATCAGATGTTGATTTAAAGAGGAATTAAACTTGTATTTTAGTGAAGTAAGACTTAGCTGATGAAAAATAAACAAAGGGTCAGATGCTGATGTTAGATGTGTGTATTTCTGCAACAACTTACTTCAATGGGCAGAAACTGATCACTTAGTTGTTAAGCCAGAATATGGCCCAAACTCGTCACTGACTACTTTAAAGTAAAACCAAAATACATCCCGAATGAGTAAGACTGTGTTTTGTATGTATTTCCCAATGAAGAGTAAGGTTAGCCTCATGAATGAGGAAAACAGGCTGTGACCCTCAAACGCACATTTACTTCCCAAGTCACAGATAAACAGCAATATAGTACTTTTATTGGTTAGCTAATACTTTATAACCTTATGCTCCTACCAAACCTCAGCAGTTAAAAAAACCTGAAACCTCCAGGCGTATAAAAGACACTGAACTGCCTGCAATGGGTGATAGAACAGAAACAAAAAAAAACAGACTTCTCTTTATAAACCTCAAGGGGACAAGTAGCTCAGCAAAAGCATGGAAAACAAATAAATATCCCATGTAGTGCTGACATTTTTAAGTTAAAGGACAGTTTCACTCACAAAATTCCTTAGTAGAGACAACTCCCAAAGGAAACCAAAACGTGTTTGTCCCAATTTTTGCAACCATGACAAATAAGGAAGACTTGCTAATATTTTCTTAATTTTATTTTTGCTATCAGACTTTCACAACTTATTTATTCCGCTTTCTTAGAAACACTGTGTGAACCAGGAGTAACTAGTAAAACGTTGATACCACACACACACACACACACACACACACACCCACCCCAGTGAAACAAAATATAAGCAACAGGAAGAGGATAAAGGGATTTTTATTGGGTAACATAAATCTCTGGATAGCAATAATTTAAATATTCAGTAACAGCACCTCTTAAGAGCTGAGACTCTGGAAGCTCAGTTCTCTGGCATTAAAAAAAAAAACCAAACCAAACTTCAGCAAAAATAGTTTAGACTACAACAATATTTCACTTTTTAAAAAAGACACTCTGTCAAGCCTTCCTTATATATATAAATTTTTTTTAAAAGAGTTTAAATAAATGATGTTTCACTTTCCATGGCATCTTCACTAAGTAGAAAAGAGCAGCAATAACATACCAACTCTTTTCTTAAGTCTGTTCTCTGCCTTAGAAACTTATGCTCATTTTCTTTAAAATAAAAAGGAAAAACCATAAACAAAATTCTCGCTCCAAATATTCCACCTTTAGGAAGAAACAGAGAATGACAGAAACAGCAAGAGTGTCAGATCTCAGACAAATGGAGGAGCTCACAAACCTGCAGGTTAGGCAAAATCTGAAAGCATTTAAAAGGCACCTTGAAAGCACCATGATACTCTTTAAAAAAACAGAATTAGAGGTTAGAAAGCTGGCTGTTACAGTGTCTGGTAAGAGCATGATCCAAAAGAATGGAATCTATTTCAGTCTGGAAACAAGCAACACACACGAATGCCGCTAACAGCAAAAAGCCCCCGACACTGCCACGTACAGAAGCCACTGAAGTTTCCCGGGTCAAGCCCGAGCGGAATTACAGGCACATCAGGGCCTGGCACGGACGGGACTTGCCCAAACACACAGACAAACAGCTGCGTTTCGCCAGGGGCGGCACAGAAACACCCACCATTCTGGGCTGGGGCTTTGACAGAACTTCTGCCTGCACAGTCGCATCAGTCAGGGCACCAGTACAGCAGGGCTCCCTGGAAGGGAGAAATGGGCTCCCAACACAAAGCTGCAGGAGGACTCCGGGCAGCGTTGCCACTCTTTGTGGCTGGCTAACAAATTACCAATACCTTCTACCACGCGGCAGATTCTGTCATTTATCCTAGGGTTCATTTTGCTCCCTGAAGCAATTTAGACTCAGAAACCAAAAAAGCGACAAAGTCATCTTTCCTTGATGCTTCCATGCACTCTCTGAAGATACAGCATGCTCTAAGCCCTCACCTGTGGAGGGTCCAAGAGGGAAGGAACATGGCAAAAAGACACAGCTATGCCTGTGGATCAGAACAAATTTGTCTGGCAAAAAAAATTTCCATTTGTTATAGATACTGATGGAATTTGAAGACTTCTGCCCCATTAGACTCCCCTCTGTTAAACAAACTCCTGAGACGCACTGCAAGCACTTCATCCCCCACAGCCCCCAGCTACCACAGCGCTGTCTCATTCCACACCCTGCCAGTGTGCAACCGAGGATACAGGCGTCATCCCTCCAGCACTGGGAGGTCCCAGCTGGATTCTAACACAGCCCAGCCAATTTTTTAATTTTTTGGGAAGGGGTGACAGAGAAGGAGAAGGAATTCCCAACAACCATTATAAAAAGCAGTACACAGAAAGGATGACTAAAACAAAAGGCAGGACTTAACTGCAGAGGGCTTGAGCCAAGTTCATTTCTTATTATTAAAAAATAAATATTTATAAATCTTAAAAATTTCTTATTGAAATCTCAAGTAAGTGTCATCAACACCTGGTCTGAAACATCTCCTAGTGTTTTCACAAACAATGCTAGGACACAAGAGCCAGAATCGGAAAGAGAATGACTAGACAGAGAACAAAACTAACTGATGTGCTACTGCCTTTGCTGGATGAAGAGCTAAAGGGAAAAATTACTACAAAGCTCTAAAGGATTGTTGATGAACAGGGAAAATATAAACCATATACAAGTTTCAACAATATGGAAAATACTGTTTTAGCAACAACAATGACAGCTAAATGTGTCCAAAGACACAGCACTTTTCTAATTGATAACATGAAAATGACTTCTGTGTTTCTCTGTGAAATGTTCCAAAGTCAGAGGTTTTATTCTGCAGCGGCTTTCAGAAAAACTCTGAAATATAGAGGCAGTGAGAGCAATCCGCTTGAAAACTTAGGACAAGGACTGGATATTCAACTATACTCTGTTCACCTGTAAAATCCTTCCTTTTTCAAGACTGACAGCTTGAGATACACACATATACAGTTAATGCACAACACTGCTACAGAAGCTGACAACTCATGAAAAAGTTTTCTACTTAGAGAACAAGTCGAGTTTACAAATATCTAGTGCATTTGTTTACTACTTAATAATAGCTATAGGTACTAAAGTGTACACATAGTAATAACCAAATTCCACTAAAGCTTTCCATTAATATTTTTAGTAATCTTTCCTTCCACTAAGCATACACTTGAGTATTCACCCCTCTGCAATAATCACCACAACTGTGTTGTGTTCGTAACAGCTTTACAGACCTGCACGCTGTATTCCTCAACCACTTTTCCATCAATTATGTAAAAGCTCCTGATGTAAATTATATATAAGGCTGGTACGTTAGCTCAAGATTTTAACCCTTGCAAAACAAGAGGCACACAATAATTCAATGAAACTAAGCTACAATAAACTCAACTAAAATCCATCTTTTTCCACGCGTAAAGTATTTCAGAACCAAGAAAAACACCACAAAAAGACCTATAACTACATACACCACATGGCCTATCCAAGTGTGACTTCCTGCCTGTAAAAGCTGCAAATTCAATTTAACGGCAAGCAGGAACTGGCCAGATGTACAGAGTTTCCTTTATTCAACC